AAAATGGCGCCACGACACGATAGACCAGTTGGTTGCACTGGCAAGTGCCTTTCACGAGGAGGTGCGCCGCGCGCAATCCAGCCTGCAGCGGCGCGTCAATCCCGTGCGCGCGCAGATTTCGATTGAGCTCGAATTTTGGAAAGCGGGCGTGGACTCCGCCTTCAGGCGCGTGCCGGTCCTGCCTAGGCACCGCGCGGTCGCATGGGTAACCTACCGCCTGCGCGGGCGTGTCATGGCCGCCCAGCACGTCACGCTGCCTTTCGGGGGCCTGGCCTGCGTGCATGGATGGGAGCGCGCGGGCGCCTTCCTGGCGGCCGCGGCGCGCAAGCTGCTGTGGCTCCCGGCGTTGCGCTACGTTGACGACTTCTTCTCGGTTGAGAGGAAGGGCCTCGCGGAGCACGCCGACAAGTGCTTTGCGAGGCTGGTGCGCGCTCTCCTCGGGCCCAGCGCCATGCAGGACCGAAAAATGGCGTGGGGCCCGTCGATCGTGATCCTGGGGTTGCGCGTCCGGTCGTCGGCATCGGGCTTCCACGTCAAGCCCGACGACTATAAAGTAAAGCAGTGGATTGCCGTCATCGACGGCGCCTTGAGGTCAGGCGCGCTCACGGCCGGCGAGGCGTCGAAGATGGCGGGTCGCCTGTCGTGGGCATGCTGCCACGTGCTCGAGCGCGCCGGGCGCTCGATGGTGAGACCGCTCTTCGACCAGGCATACGGTTCCCTGCCCCGCCTCGCGGGACACGCGAGCGACGCGTACTGGCACGGGACATCGCCCGCGCGCGGCCCTGGCGATGCCGCGACGCGCGCCCGCCAGTGCTCGTGCTGGCGGACGCCCGCGGCAGCCCGGCGCGACTCGCCGCAACTTTACTCACAGAAGACACGTTCGAGTGGGCCGACATGGCCCCGCCAGAAGAATTTCTCAGGTCTCAGCGCGACGGTCCGCGGCGCGCGCGCGTGTCGGGCGTTACGCGATTGGTGCAGCGGATTACGCGCCCGCAATGATCAGCAGATCGCGGCGCTCGAGATGCTGGCGCAGTGCGTGGCTCTGTCCATGTGGGCGCGCGCCCGCCGGCCGCCGCGTGGTCTTCTTCTCAGACAACAGCGTCGCTGAGTGCTCTTTCAGGAAGGGCGCCGCAAAGTCACGCGACCACAATTTTCTCCTACACAAATTCTGGTCGGCGGTAGTGGCGCTCCAGGCAGCGCGGCAACCGCGCGCCGCCAGACGCGCGCGCGGTCACGCCACCGCGGCAGGTCCACGCGTGGATAGAGCGCGTGGAGTCGGCAAGGAACCTGGCCGACCTTCCCTGCCGCGAGGAGCGGGATTTGCTCTCGCGTCTGGGGGGGAAGAGGGTCCGTGCACAACTCGCGGAGGCCTTCCGCTGTGGGCCACCGCCCGCGAGTGCTGCATGTTAGTAAGACTGCCCCGCGTGCGCGCACCGCGGGGCGCGCGCGCGCAAGCGGAACCGGCTGCCACGCTAGCCGGCATTGCGCAAGATGGAGCTCGCCCGCGACTTTCGCCGTAGCTTCCCAGGGCGTTTCAGCGATGCGGCGGCGGCCGAGGCCGCGGCTCTATGCGTTCGGCATGGCTGCTGTTCTCTCATGCAGCTGCAGGGGCGCCGCGGCGAAACCGCCGGCTGGTGCGATCGGGCTGGCACGAGCGAAGAGTGCCGTCGACTCGCGCGGGTGGCCGCGCTGGCCCGACCGCCCCCGGGGCCGCCCCCTGGGCGCGACGCGGTGACCGGCATATCAAGAGGCGTGAGGCGTTTTCTTGGCGAGCGGCGCGCGCGGGCGCGGGTCGGCGTCTTCGCCGCACAGGCAGTGTCGCATCGGTTCGCCTCGCCCGCGATTTACACAAGTGCGGAATAAAAGGTTGCTCGGCTGGCGCGCCCGCGGCGCGCGCGCGCGCGCCCGCCGGCGCGCAGGGGATGCCTCCGATATCGCGCGTGCGGCCAGCGTGCTGGCGGAGCAAGGGTTCGAGACCCACCAGGATCTCGTCGGGGCGCAGCTGAGGTGCATCGCGGACCTGCATGTCCTGCCAGCACCCCTCCTGTCGGAGCTCGATCGCCTGTGCACCGCGGGACCCTCTTCCGCGCGTAGCGGGGATGCGCGGAGCCGTTCTCCAGAGCGCGCGCAACCCCTCCTGCGCGGCCCGCAGACTCCTATAATCTGCGGCGCGCGCCCAGGACGATATGTTGCGCTGGTCGGGCACTTTCTCTTGCGCGGGCGCGTTCCGGAATTATTGCGGGCACGCGCAGACAGCGTGCGAAGTACTACGCCTGGACACGAGCGCCTTCGGCAACAGACGGCTGCTCCGGCGTCGGCCCCCCGCGCCACCGCGCGCGCGAGGCCGCGCGTCGCGCGCCCAGGAAGGCCAAGGCAGCCATTGCGCGGCGCGGCGGACACACGCCACGCGAACCGCGCTTCGTTCGTGACGCTATGATTGCGCAATTACTTGGCCTACATGGTCGCGAAGAAGAAAAGGCGGGGCCGCCGCGCGGCATTCGCCAGTCAACCCAGCGGTCGCGCAGGTGGCATCCACCATGTTTCTAATTACGGACATATTCCTGTTTCGCCTACCATCCGAGTGTTTACCCATCCGGTGGTGCGGCAACACTTTGTCGCGCGGCCGCACGGCGGGCCGCACCGTCTGGAAGCGCGCGCGCTGGGGCACCTGCGCACGCGCCGAACGCGCTAGGCGGAGTTGGCCATATCGGCAGACGAGGCTTTCCTCTGGTTGCCAAGGCGGAAGAACAAGCCGTGCGCGTCGATACTCCGCCGGAGGTGTTGGTGCCGCGCGCACGCCGCGACGCGCGCCGTGCGCGCGCTGCCTCCGTTGCTGCGCGGCACAGCGGTAGGCGCTCAGCCGTTCGCGCAGTTCTCAGGGTCGGATGCCCGGCGTATCCTTCGGCCCCTATTGTCCAGGATAGGCGTGGACAGTGCCAACCTGTTCGGCACCCACGACATACGAAGGTCGCGACCCGCGACCGCTCGCGCGGCTCGGCGCGCACATCCCTCCGCCCCTCTCGCGCGCACAAGGGGGCGCGCCGATGACATCGATCGCGCGGGTGCACCGACCGCAGTAACGAAGGAACGTGGAGGCTGGGCGTCGAACGCCTACCTGGCTTACATCGACCGCGTTCGGGTCGAAAGTGAGAGGGTAGCGGCCGCGCGCAACGCCGCGTCCGACTGCTCGGACAGCTCTGACAGCAGCTCAGACACCTAGTGAGGCTGCGACATCCCGGCGCGCGCCCGAGCGCCGCGCTCCGCGTGCGCAACGGGTGAGCGGCGCACGGCGCTGGTCGCATCGTTGCATTGGGTCGTGCTGCGACCAGCACCGAGGCCTCGCGGCGCCCGCGCCCTCTCGGCGCGGCGCAGGCTTCGGCGCACACCCAACGCTGTGGTTGCAGACGCAACCCAGCTACGGGTGAGCGGGGTGCTCAGCGAATTTGTGTGTATGGAACGAGTTCGGCCCCTGGTTCCATCGCACACATTCGCTGGCCCCAGGCGCACGCGGCGGACGCAGGCGCGAGCAGTCGCCGCGCCGCCGCTTGGCTCGCGCGCGCCGCGGCGCGCCGCAGGCGATGTGGGCAGGCCCGCGCGCCCCCGCGCGCGGCCGCTGCCCGCCGCGGCCGCGCGCAGGTACCACAGGTTTGTGTGTGCCTGGCGCGCGCGCCCCGCGCTCGGGATTTGACCCGCCCGTGCCCACCCCGTTTCTCGCCCGTTGCTGGGTCGTGCTGCGACCAGCACCGAGGCCTCGCGGCGCCCGCGCCCTCTCGGCGCGGCGCAGGCTTCGGCGCGCACCCAACGCTGTGGTTGCAGACGCAACCCAGCTACGGGTGAGCGGGGTGGTCAGCGAATTGGTGACGTTGGGAATGGGCAGATTTTTGCCTCTTGAAGGCCCTCTTGGGGCCCTCTTCGGCCATCTTCAAGCCATCTCGGGCCCCCTTGAGCCCCCTCCCTTGGGCCTCGCTGAGGCTGTCTTGTGGGCCTCTTGGGCGCCCTCGAAACCCGGAAATCATGTTCCCGGACAGGCTTCCGTCAACATGATTTCGAACAAGGCCCTCTTGGGCCTCCTTGAGGCCGTCTTGGGGGCCTCCTGGGCCAGCTTCGGGGCCTCTTGGGCCGTCTCGGGGGGTTCCGTGAGCCCCACAGGCCGACCCTTTTGGGCCGTCTGGGGTCCTCTTGGGTCTCTCTTGGGCTGTGTTGGGGCTCCACGGGGGCGTCTGGGGCACTGTGAAGACGAAGCCAGCGAGCATGCCGAAAATGTATGTTTTACGTTGGGGGTATGGCAAGCCATCTTGGGCCCTATTGGGGCGCTCTTGGGCGTCTTCGGGGCCTCTTGAGGCTTTCTTGACCATCAGTACTGCCCGCGTGGCCTGTCATGGGCAATTTGGGGGGCAGTCCCGGGGGGTCTGTGACCCCCAAAGGTTCGGGGGGGCGGCCATGTGGGGTGACGGCACCGATGTTCCCCCCCCCCCACCCCACCGGTCGACATATATATATATATATATATATATATATATATATATACATATAGATAGATAGATATAGGTAGGTAGTAAGGTAGGTAGGTAGGTAGGTCGGTAGGTAGGTAGGTAGGGTAGGTAGGTAGGTATATATATATATATATATATATATATAATATATATACATATATATATATATATACACACGTCTCTCTCTCCTTCTCTCTCTCTCTCCCTCCCTCTCTCTCGTTACTTCTCCCGCTTCAGACCAAGGGAGGATGGCATGGGCAGGGGCTAGCCCTTCCCTGAAGAGGCAAAATGGGGGTCGGGTGCGGTGGAGTGGTACACCACATACGCCCACAAGGACCATGTTTGCTTCGCCGGTTTGCGGCATATTGGCAGATGTTCAGTGGTGGGGGAGGCGGGGGAGGAGGTTTGCGGGAACATGGCGAACATGATGCGAAAGACCAGACATCAGGAGTCCTGGGGACGGCAAGGCGAGGCAGCGGAGAGCGCCAGTCTGCGGGAGCAGCCGAGGTCCCAGAACCTGAACTTGGGCGGGCGCCTCGGCCGCCTGACGGGCAGGAAGATCCTGGACGTCGGGCTTCCAAGATGGAGGCCAGCCTCCAGCACGGGTGGCATCGATCCTCCGGCTTCTTTGATTGTAGCGTGTCGCGTCTGCCTCAAATGCTGGGCCCAGTTGTGTCCGAGGTATTCGGCCATGTGTTCCCCGAGCCGTTGTGGAAACCAAGGAACGAGAAGCAGACAGAGGTGATTGGGGGAGCATGAGGATAACGACGAAGAGGAGGAGGAGGAGGAGGAAAAGGAGGAGGAGGAGGCCCCTGGTGGGGGGCCATCGGGGCCTCCTGTGGTCGTTTTGGTTGCCCTTTAGAGCTATCTGGGCCGTATTGGGGTCATCTAAGACAATCTTTTGGACATCTTGGAGGGCATTTGGGTCATCTTGGAGGCCGTCGCTCGGCCACCTTGGGCATCGCTCGGACATCGCTCGGCCATCTTGGAGGCACTATTTCTTGGACCGTCTTCCGGGCGGTTTTGGAGCGCGCCCGGGGGCCTGTGCTGTTGTCTTCGGGCCATATTGCAGGCTCGTTTGGCCGTCTCAGGCTAGCTTCTGGAAGCGCCTCTGTGGTCAACCGTTGGTGAAACATTTGGCCAAGGTGTTTGACTATGTATTCCCCCCAGCCATTGTGGGATCCCTTGGGAGAGCAGTTTTTGGGGTTGAAGAAGGCAGGCACAGGATGCGGATGTCTCTTGGGGGCCGGTTGAAACCACCTGAGGGCCTTTGCATGATTTTGTTTCTGATTTACGTGGCCTCTTCGGGCTATCTGGGACCATCTTTGAACTGTGGATGCCTGTTTGGTCTTTGACGCTAATGGCTCTTTCAGCGTCGTACTGGTTTGAGGAGGCTTCAGGCGAGAGCCTCATGTTTTGAAGATCCACATCTCGATCTCCAGCGGATGTATATTCATCGTTTAATGAGTGACGTCGTACACAACATCCGCCGTCATCCCCATGCTGTGAGGACGTCTTTAGAGCGAAATTGTTGTTTTGGACCGATGGGATGGGGGTCGCTCATGTAGCCGAAGGACTGCGCAGACCCCACTGGAAATGTTCACCCTTGCGCACCAACAATCCTTCTTGCAAGCAACGGGTGACGGCGGATCTAGGGACCTTCAGTCTATCCCGCCACCGTGCTTGGGTTGTAGGTCAGAGGCCTCCGGGATGCCTTTGGGATCTTTGGGGAGGCCTATCGGAAGCCTCTTGCAGGTAATTTGGGGTGTCTTGGGACCTCTCGAGGGCCTCTTTGGGGGCTCTTGGGGGCCTTCTGGAGCTTCTTGGGGGCCTCTGATGGACTTGCTCTGCTGGCGGTCTCCAGGGTCGTCTTGGGGCGGAGGGCTCGAAATGTCAGTTCGGGTTCCTCCTTTTGGGGCCCCGTTGGGCCGTTTCAGGGGCCTCGTGAGCCGTCTTGAGGCCCTCTTGGGCAGTTTTGGGCCCCTCTTGGGGACCTCTTGGGTCATCTCGGGGCGATCTTCGGAGCCTCTTGGGCCGTCCAGGAGCGTCGGAAGCACGAAGAGGCGATCTTGTTTTCATATTCTAAAAACGCATCGGGCAATTCATGATGTTGCATATTGGGTCCCTCTTGGGGGGCCTCTCGGAGCGACTTGAGGCCACCCGGGGCGTCTCGGAGCGTTCTTGGGCCGTCTCGGGGACCTGTTGTACCGTCTGGGGAGCCCCTTCGGGCCCTCTTGGGCCCGTGCCAGCGCGAAAACCTGCGGGAAGCCCCAAGAGGCACGCAGCACCGCCACGCGATACCCTCCGACAAGTTGAGTTCGGGGTCATAGAGGGTTCATTTCTCAGAACTCAGGACTGAGGACCCAAAGGACCCGGGGAAACTCCAGCTCGTGCCTCGAGCCACGTTGGCGGAAGAACTTGCTGCTGGGCCAAATTGTGAGACAAGCTGCAAATAGAGAAGACATTCGCCCTGCGAAGCACGCATCAAACAGGTAGAACGCGCACACTCATGTGTATATGTACATGTATATGTAAGTGTGTATATATTTGTGCAGATAGATGTGCATGTGTATGCATGTATGCATGTATGTGTGTATGTACACACGCACGCATGTATACATGTGCGTATGTGGCTGGTTGTTGTGTATGTATGTATGTATGTATGCATGCATGCATGTATGTATGTATGTATGATATGTGTATATGTTTGTATATGTGTGCGCGTGTGTATGTATGTTTGCATGTATGTATGTATGTGCATGTGTGCATGCACATATATATATATATATATATATACGTTTGTTTGTTTGGTTGTATGTATGTATGTATGTATGTATGTATGTATGCATGTATGTATGTATGTATGTATATACGTAATCATAAATGCATGCATGTATGTGTGTATGTATGGTTGTATGTGTGTATGTATGTATGTGTGTATGTATGTATGTATGCATGTATGCATGTATGTATATGTGTACGCATGTATGTGTGTATGTATGTGTGTTTGTATGTATGTATGCCTGTATGTATGCATGCATATATATATATATGTGTATGTGTATGTGTGTATGCATATATGTATATATGTTTGTATGTATGAATGTATACATGCATCTGTGTACGTATGTATGTATGCATGCATGCATGCATGTATGCATGTGTATGCATGCATTTGCATGTACATATATATATATATATGTATATATTCCCTGCAGAAAACAAGTTCCGCGGCGATCGCGATGTGCGTGAAGAGAAATATTGGGCAGGCTGGTCCCCTTCATGGTCGTCCTCGTCGTCCTCCTCCCGGACTTCGTTCTCGTCGTGGTCGTTCTCGTCTTCGTCGGCGGCCAGCCCAGGTGGCACCATCGACAGCACCTACGGCGGCGGCGCCTTCGGCGGCACACTGGTCAGCAGCCTCGGAGGGCCCGAGGGCCCTGGGGTGGTGGAAGAGGCGGTGGTGGTGGTATTAGTGGTAGTGGTGGCGGCGGGTGTGGTGGTGATGGTGGTGGTGGTGGTGGAGGTGGCGGGGGTGGTGGTGATGGTGGTGGTGGTGGGTGGGTGGGTGGGTGGGTGGTGGTGGTGGTGGTGGTGGTGGTGGTAGTGGTGGTGGTGGTGGTGGTCGTGGTGGTGGTGGTCGTGGTCGTGGTAATGGTTGTGGTGGTCGTGGTCGTGGTCGTGGTGGAGGTCGTGGTCGTGGTCGTGGTGGCCGTGGTGTTCGTGGTGGTCGTGGTGGTCGTGGTCGTGGTCGTGGTGGTGGTCGTGGTGGCGCCTCGGGAAGAATAGGGTGAGATGCGGCACAGGATGAGGGGGGGAGATGCGGCAGGGTGGGCCAGTGGGGAAGGAGGAAGAAGGAGCTTCAGCGCGCGATGGAAGTGGGCCTGGATAGCCTGGAACAGCTCGGGCGTAAGCTCCACTCAGGTGGGAGGGGCAGGAGTGATTATAAGTATAATTCTGCTTAAAGCGTCATCCTCCTCTAGGGAGGCCGCTCATAAACCAAATCACAAATCAAGGAAACTGGTGCCCGATTTCGGGGGCAGCCCTCTGGAGAGCCGCGACAACACCTCGCGGCCTGAAAACGTAGGCTTGCCACAGAGCCTGGAGAAGGACCGAGGGGGATTGACTGTGTAAAATTCCCCACACACCTCACAGAAAAGAACTCCTCTCAGCACTGCAAGCTGATGAGATTGGTCACACAACTCGGCCATCGGGTGATCCAGAGCCGCCCCCCCCCGCACTGGAACGGCCGCGAGGTCATCTGGGACAGGATCTTCCATCCCGATCGCAACGGCTCTCGGGGGCAGGCTCTGGATCTTCTGCTGCATAGCACAGTGTGGCTGGCAAGGGTCAGGCCTAACATCCGCCAGCTTCCCTCGCAATGGGAAACCTCTGAAGCCCTTCAGCCCAGACACTTGCTGCTAGCATTCCGCAACTGAGGCTCGTGCCCGCAATCTCTCAACCTACAGAATCGCTCCACAGCACTAGTCTGTTGGCCTCTTTGCCTTCTAGGAACGCGCTCAACACGGTCCGTTTCCCCAGTGAAGAGTATCTCCCGTTGGACAGCCAACAATGGCGATTCAACATCAGACGCAAGTTTATCGGCCCGACGGGTACGGTCCACCAGCTCCTCGCGAACTTGGGCACGGCCAGCTGCGGCATCGGCAAAAACACAGCTTGATTCAAATACACTTCCACATCGCTCAAACCATGTTTTGGCGTTGGGCCTGGGTGGGATATCACTTAGTCCTAGGCACTTGGGTAGAGCCTTCACGAGGCAACATAATATCATGATGATTGGCCCACAAATCCAATACAGAATACCGAGGCTTCGACTGCAACTGTCGGCGACCTCCTCTGACAACTCTCAAGAAATCACAATGCACTCTGCAATGGCCAGTCGTACAGTTGGTCAACATAATCAAAGCATGGAGCTCCGCCCTCGGGGAGGACTGCTTCTCGTTGGGCAACGTGCCCATGATGATGGCGTCGAACAGGCCAGAAGAACCCAGGCGGGCACGCGCCCGACCGCAGCGGCGGAGCCGCCAGTCCTTGGTGCACTTCCCCCTTGGTCCATTTATGCCCCAAACGCCTCCGTCGATCTTCACTCCTCCCACCGAGCGGCCCCGCTCCCAGACGCGAGAAACAGGCGGCGGCAGATGCCCGCGGGAATCCGCCAAAAGCGGGGGGGGGGGGCACGAAGCCGAGAACAAGAGCGCTGGGGTATGGCACGAAACCGATCAACGAGCGAACTAGTGCGACCCACGATCGCATCGAGCAAAGACTGGTTGGCGACGCACCCCTGAACGCGATGTAGCGGAGTCTCAGCTGAGGCCCCGCAGCGTGGACCTATTCCAGCGGCATGCGAGAGATATCCCGCATCCTGCAGCCTAGCTTCAGTCCAAGAGCGCTTGTGATCATGTTCCGTACCATGCCTGCAGACTCCATTTCCCCTTGCTTCTCCAGGCTCCTGAGAAACCGATGCGCCATCGTAAAATCAGCTCCTCCTTCCACTCCAAGCCCCATATAATGCGCTGCAGAAAATTTTACGACATAGCTTGGCAGGTAACAACCAGGCGGGACCAGAGCTGGAAGGGGAAATCTCCATCCGTCACGCGGAGCACTTCTGTACCAATGCGCCAGCACATTGGAGAGACAGGATCCCGATTCAAATCGAGAAGCACCGCCAGCGTGGTCGCGATCGGACCTCGCGCGACATACCAACGATGCTGCGTGCAAGCAGACTTGTCAGTGACTTTCTTCCACATTTGTGCAACACTGACTCTCTGCTTGTGGGGCAATTGATTCCAAATCAAGGCGAACGAGTTCAATTGACCATAACCGAGGCCTAAACTGGCGGTCATCCTCAGCAGGGCTCACCAGACTCGACGCGGTGGTCGCGCAGGCCCCGGGGCTCCACCGCCCCGAACAGGTAGCCGCCTGGGCACGCATGGACTGAACTTGAGCGGGGGGGATCCCCAAAACCTCATCCTGGCATCGCTCGGACGTGTGCATTTTTCTCGGCGAGAACCATCGAGGAGCATCCTTGATCATTTGGCGAAAAAACCACGCACGAAACCGACAAACTATCCCGGCAAAGCAACCTAACAGCGATGTGTAGAAGCATAGCTGGAAACATTGCCTGTGGTATTCATGTAAGAGTGCTGTTGTAGAATTCTGGTGTTCTCGCAGTCGCATTCGGATTCGCAGTGGCAGTCGCAGTGGCAACATCAGCGGCAGTCGCAGTGGCACTGCCAGTAGTTGCAGTAGCAATAGCTACACTAGCAGCAGCAACAGCAGCAGCAGCAGCAATAGTAACAGTAGTAGTAGCAGTAGAAGTAGTAGTGATGGTAGTAGTGCAGTAAAAGTAACAGTAGTAGCGTTCTTGTTCGGACGTTCCTTTATTTCGCTTCGGTATCCAGCCGAACTGCTTCACGTGCTCGACGAGCGTTTGCAGAGGACCGCTCAATGCAGCACGCTGAGGAGCAGCGCTGTTCCCTGCCGCAGGCTGAGGAGCACCGCTGTTCAATGCAGCAGGGCCAGGAGCACCGCCGCCAGACCGAGAACTATCAGCATGTCCTGGCATTAAGGTTTGCAGTAGGCGCAGCGCAGTTCCTTTGAAAGGAAATCTTCGAAAGCAGGGCTGTAGCCAAGAAGGCTACGGGGACGATGGTGATGCTGATGATGAAGATGATGAGTCTTGGAAGTGTGGGAAATTGAAGAGCACGAAGTGGCGTACAGTTGGCTCCGGGCATTCAAAATGTGGCCCGGGAGTGGAGTTCTGGGAAGTGGAAGAGCACGAAGTGGCCTACAGTTGGCTCCGGGCATTCAAAATGTGGCCGGGAGTTGCGTTCTGGAAAATTCAAAAGCACGCAGTGGCTTACAGTTGGCTCCGGGCATCCAGAATGTGGCCCGGGAGTGGAGTTTTGGGAAGTCGAAGAGCACGAAGTGGCCGACAGTTGGCTCCGGGCATCCAAAATGTGGCCCGGGAGTGGAGTTCTGGGAGGTCGAAGAGCACGAAGTGGCTTACAGTTGGCTCCGAGCATTCAAAATGTGGCCCGGGAATGGAGTTTTGGGCGGTCGAAGAGCACGAAGTGTGTGACTGTTTGCTTAAAACGAGCCCGGCCCTGAGCCCGGCTTTCGCTGTCCGGATGCCGCCCAGACCTCCCTTCTGAGTCATCAGATGCTCTCTTTTGACACCATTAGAAACCTATCAGTCTTCGCTGTTAGGTAAAAACACAGGGAATGGACGTCCGAGCGATGGTGAGTAATGGCCCCACGACCCACACCGCCAACGCAGCGCGTTTGTAACACTTGCGGGCGCTTCCCACCAGGCGAGTGGGACAACGGACTTGCAGGGCCTCTCGCCTGTCCAGGGCACGCCGATGGCGCAACTTCGAAGCGCAGCGCCTCCTGCCCGCGGTGGTCATGGCCCCCAAATCGCGCACTCCATCAGCCGCGGTGATAGGTAGGCTGGCAGCGCGGTAAAGGGATGCAAGATGACCTCGCACATCCTTCTCGTAACAAGCAAAGGTGCTCTTGCTAGAGACGGTAGCCCCTGCCTGCTCCAGCCGATGGCAGAGACGCACTGCTGCGGGAACTCTATTCGAAACAATCTCTGACCAAGCGCCTGGCTGGGCCTGGGCAGTGTCGTCCACATAAGCAAAGGTGGACGCAGAGCGATACTGGGCGTGCGCAAAGTCCATCAAACCACGCACATAAACCTGGACCCACGGCATGGGCTGCACGCACCCAGGAGGCACCCCGCGCCCCGCAGGGGTGACATCGGACGCGAACCCGTTGGCCCCCAGGACACGCGGCGCCTCGCGCATCGGAATCCCAGGTACAAGAGGTGAGTTGGGTATGCCATTTTCAGGGCGAAGCCAACACGACGAAGAGGGTCCACCGTGTGTTAAAAAAATGCTTAAGTCCCAGTACAGACCAACCGACAGCTTCCCAGGGTAATCGGCCATATCACGGCCCATCTCCTGCAAGGGAGCCGCTTGCAACGCCGAGGATTCTCGAATCGCAGTGCCCCAGTACTTATCGCGCCCCCGAGACCACTCATCAACGCCACGGCCTCGCGCCCGACAGTGCAGGCGGCGTAGGGAAGGGCGCTTGCAAACATGACGCTCCGCATCCGCAGCCTCGGGAAGCAGGGCAACGATTCCCATCCTAGTCTGGGCGAACCACATCATGGAGCGCTCGCGCTGGTTGAGGAGATCAGCGTAGACCCCCCGCAGCAGAACCAGGCAGAGACGCCAACAGACGGGGGACCCACCGCAGTATCAACCATGAACAGCCGCGCCGCTCTGGACACCCCCGGGGTCAGAGGGTCCAAGAGCTCCACCGCCGCTGACGCCATCGGTTTCAGAACATCCAGGGCACCCGACAACGTTTCCCTCTGATCAGGGGGGGATTTCCA